CTTCCGATCTCCCCAAAACCCCAAAACCCCGTCAGATTGAAATAAACAGAAAATAGTATTAAGAATAAAATTTTTAGATTGAATTGAACACTTGATATTCACTTCTTTTATCTGATTCAAATCTTAATAAGTATATAAAGTTATATTAAAATGGACATCCCATCAATATAAGATTCACAAGATAGATTGATTGAGCAAAGAATTCATAAGTAAATTGGTCATGGAGTGCTCGCTACAATGGATCAGGCAAGACTAGAAAAAAGAGAGGCCTAAGAAAATTTAAGATAGTCACTTAACATTAGAAACTAGAAATACTATTAATAATGGAGAGATTATGACATGCTTACCTGTATTTTGGCAATGATTGGAATCACTCTAGCTGTTGTAGAGGTAACCATCTTTACATACTATTGAAATTTTACTTAATAATTTAATAGCAAGAAGCGCCAGGTTAGGAATATAAAAACAGAGATGTTCAAAAGATCAAGGATAACTCATTCGTCAGAGTTATCATTACAGTCACAACAGCCCTAGCAGTTGTATCCTTGCTTTTTAGAAACTGGCTATACGTTCACTGGAAAGATTTTAATAATTCCAGAGAACTTCAAATCAAGTTTATTGAACTTGAGATTGATTAGCATGAATAGTAACAATCTGCTGAGCAAGAGAATCATGATGCTGGACACCAATTTGACTAGAATATGAAAAAATCAAGAAGTAGAGTCTCATCACTGGTTGAAAAAAGAAAGAAATATCTAGTGACAAACAAGAGATCCAATTTTAGCAAATTCATAAGAAAGGTATTTTCACTAGAATGCATTTTTGAAATCATCATTCTTTGCGTGCATCCATTCCCATATCTTGAGGAGGAATATACATTCTAAATTATCAATATGTTCAATGAGAAGGATAGATTTGTCGGTGTCAATTACCTTTTAAGTGATTTCTTATTCGCTTTTATGTTCCTCAGATTCTACTTCTTACTCAGAACAATCACCAACTTCAGCACATACAGTGATTTATCAAGTCAAAGAATTTGCAATAGCAATGGATTCACCTCCAACATGTCATTTGTTCTAAAAGCTAACATTTAAAAGAACACTGGATTGACAGTCCTTTTTACTGCTGTTGGCTCAGTGATGTGGCTTTCATATTTACTAAGAATCTTTGAAAAGTAAGAATTATCGTTTCCCACCAACTTTTTAACACTATACTTTTAGAATCTATTATCAAAGTCAGGGCTTGATTGTATTTGACTCTTATCTGACTGCAATGTGGTGTGTGGTTATTACAATGACAACTGTTGGTTATGGTGATGTCTATGCTGTCTCACCTTTCGGAAGATACATCTCTATTATCAATGCTCTCTGGGGCGCCTTTATCATTTCCATGCTCGTCGCTTCAATTGGAAAAGTATTTGATATGTCTGAAAGCCAGAAAAAAGCTATTGTTGAAATCACTAATCGCAAAAAAGCTGCAATTTCAATGAAAGCTTCCCTTAAATTTTACATTGCAAAAACTGAATATGAAGCTGATCTTAGCAAGAAGAAGCTTAAGTCTATTTTGACAAATGCTAGTGCCCTTGAGACTGCAGATTATGTCCCAACAAAAATGGAAATCGATAAGTTAAAGGAAAAAATGATTAAGGCATCAGATGAAATGAGAAAAGAAAGAATAAACAACAATGAGGAGATCTTGCCAATTGATGAGGATGGAAACAACATTGAGCTTATTAAGAACCAGGTTTTGGATATCAATGACAAATTCGATTATATGGTGCAAATGCTTCTTAAAAGTAATCAACTAGTTCCAAGTAGCGATTAAGTTGATAAGCATGAAGAAATGCAGTTCAGACTTAATGATCCTAAAGAAGGCACAGAATCCCTTATTGATGGAGTCAATGATGAGGAACTTATCTAGTTTGTGTAGAAATTCGAAGAGACCGCCAAATTGAATGCAGGAGAGGAACGTGCTTAGTTCAGAGAAAAGCAAGCAGAGAGACCATTGATGGAAAGAATCAATGAGGCTATTAGATACTATGAATAGAAACAAGCAGAGGAGGAAGACAGATAGAGAGTATAAGAGACAGCTAGAAAGTTATTTACATCACCAAGTAAAGAATATGACAATCAAACTCCCCAGTGATAGGCCAATAATGCTCTATTAAATTCACACTTCTTTAAATTCTTTAAAAGTTACATATATTAGAATATAGATTTATTAAATTAAGCTATACATTCTTAAGTTTAAGAACTTATCTCATTTTAGATCTATAATTTGATATATTCTCTCAAACACACCAGCTTTTATTGATACATTTGTTAAGGATTCATTTAAGAGTATATCTCTATGAAATAAGTCTATATAAAACTCTGACGAGATTTATAATGACGAAGAATAGAACAATTCTGAGTATTTTCTATAAGACTGATATCTATTTTTAAAGTTCATCCTTGGTCAAATTTTTTTTTAAGAAGTAATCCACGAATTTTTATTTGCTCCATTCTCTGAATTACTTGAATCTAAGTATTGCTTATTCAACTAAATAAACTATCCATTCTTTGCCGAACTTCATTGTTGCTACTCCCAAATTCTTAATTAAATTGTAAAATGCGTAAAGACCATGAGCATTAAATTCGACCATCTGAGCTATTTCACAGAGCTAGTAGATGTACTGATTCATTCTTTCAAGCCTGGAGGTGTTGTTTCCCATGCTGTTCTAGCCATACATACCCATTCCTCCACCATACATACCTCTGCCGTACATTCCACCGCCTCCATACATGCCACCTCCGTACATGCCTCCTCCACCACCATACATTCCTCCGCCTCCATACATTCCAGAGGAGTAAGGACTAGAGCCACCAAACATTGAGGATGATCCTCCAAACCCAGCACCAAGAGCACTTTAGTTATTTAATCCAGTATTTGCTCCTGTCAAGGCACTTGATATGTTTGCTGCGTTTTCTTTAATTTCCTCTTATTAACTCTGCTGTAATCCTACCGTAGGCGATGTCATCTATGACGTCTAAAATGTTTATTAAGGCAAGCTTGGACCAATTTATTGATCCCTATTAGGTATTAAGATTATTTATTATACATTATAGCAGAGATTCCAATACCACTAGATTGACTAGGTGCTATAATCTACTCAGGAGATGAGCTAGTATTTAATGCAGTCTTTGTTCTTTCCCAGGGCTTAGGTGCTGACATTATGCTATTATTTGTCTCTTTAATAATTTATTCTAAATTTTTCCAATTTCTCCGATATTCTTAAACTATGGGGTTTTGGGGTTTTGGGGTTTTGGGG